CCTACACATAAAATAGCTTCAAAGTGGCATCTGAAGAGACACTGAAATTTGGAGCATCTTTTTGTCTACACAAGTCACTTTTCAAGGCCCCAGTGAAGCAACAGGAACCTATTTGAATATGCAGAAACAGGTACAATTGTTTTGTCACTGTGTTGGCACAAAGAAAAGCTAAGGACAAAACAATACAGTGAAAGAAGATGAAGGTTTCCTAAGTATACTCTACGTGAAAGGGGCTGTGGTTGACAAGTTCTCTACTTTATTTTTCTAATGTCTATAATAACATCGTGAAGTGGAATTCTCAATTTTAAAGATGAAGAATCTAAGTCTCAGAGAGACACTCAGACTGTAAGTGGTGATCTGACATTTGAACGGGTTTGTTTTGTTTTGTTTTGTTTTTTTCTGATTCCACACCCATGGTCTTTGACATACATTGAGTTGACTGCAGATGGCCTGTCCATTTCAATGTTAGGTGATTTACTTGACTGTCACTGAATAATGCTGAAGGGGTTTGAGAAATTTAAATGTTGTTACATCAGATGTTCTATCTCCTGAACTAAGCATTTCATTTTATTTTTAGTCTACTAGAACTCAGTAAACTTAATATATCCTTCCATTATTACTGAGGGCTCCCAAAAATAACTTCAGCATTTTACTTCTGTTTAAAATGTTTGCTTGTCCACATATCAAATAATAATCTAATCAAGATGATACAGTACACAGTTAACCAAATAATTAGAATAGTCATAAAACATTAAATAAAGGTACTAATACAAGAATGTGTTGGTCTGAAAATATGGAGAATATTTGGCTAATATTTGGAAAACATAAATTGTATATTGGTATCACCTCAAATTTTACCTATTCAAAAGAGATATTCTAATAATTCATAAAATTAAAATCCAAATATTTAAGGTGAAATTTGATAAGAAAAATATACATATTTATGTAGTAAATTTGTATTCAGGTTATCATCATTATAAATAGAATATGAATAGTAAAATAGATACGAATCTAGGTATTTCCCAAAGATTCCTTCATATCTACAATATCACATATAGATGAGATTGTATAATATTATTCAGATGAGGTAGTTCTATAAATTCCAGAAAGGAGAAAATAATAGTTTTTGTTGTTGTTGTTGTTGTTTGGTTTTTTGGGTTTTGGGTTTTTTTTGCCCCATATAATGACATTTAGATTTTGGTCAGACAGGTAATTAAATAAGTAGTAGCTTGTAGAATTAAAGTTGTAAATATATTAGATGTTGATTTGAATTTAGAATAGGGATATTTGGTTAAGAAGGATCTTATAAAAATAAACTAACATCATGGGAGTGATTAATAAAGCCACAGCCACGTGCAAGTGACCTTAACAAAGGAAGTAATGAATTCTCTCCAGCTCTGTAGTCCTCTGGTTCAGTACTGTCATTCTCAATGGCCTCAAGAAGGTTACATGCCTGATGGACACATTGATGGAAATATGGTCTCTCCTCTGACCAGAAAAGGATTACCCAGCCTACCACAGCACCTAGGGATTGCCAAGACAAGTTCCTTACTCCCCTTTAGATTGTGCGGCATATCTCTAGCCTAGGGACCTGCCTCTTCTCCACTCTGTCCACCTCACTGACAATGAACCAGGGAAATGTGAGTAGCAGCAGTAGCCAGAAAATATGTTTGTGTTTCTTGTCTTTGGGCACAACCAAGATGAAAGTCTCTAAGTAAGATCTATAGTAATAACTATAGTCCAAGCAATAGCTTTTGGTGACCATCAAGCTAATTAATAAGAATGTGTAAGGTCAAAGTTAATTTATATCTTTGTTAAGTGGCATCCAACCATTAATCCTTATATCTGACAGTCTCAAGTTAATCATGTTAATCGAACATTCCTTTTCACAAAGATAGAGTTTACAGGCAACAAATGTAATTAAAACAAAAAAAAAGGCATATTATTCTAGGGTCAACACTGCAAAAAAGATTTCAGGAAAAACAAAATTTTACATATATATTAAATATATATATGAATTCATAATCTCAAAATTATTTGTTACAACCTGCATACTTCCTACCTGACAAGTAGTACTTGTTATTTATCTTATTGAACATGTTTAAAAATAAAATTTTGCTTAGAAGGAAAATTGACCATGATTATTATTGTCCCTGTTATGGTTTACCATTATGCAAAGTTGGTACCAGACCAAATGGCAATACAGAAGAAAGTTTACTCCCAGCATCTTGCTAACCTCCAAGCTCTTTAATACCCACACGTTTTCAGCCAGGCTCCTAGTATGCTCTTTTCATTCTCACCTCAACCTAAGGAGTATTTCTCATCATCCAGTCACAAATTCACCTGTTCTCTGTCCCATTCCTTCCCTTCTCTCTAGGAGATGATAAATGAATGAAAATTATTTAGATCAAGTAAGTGAAGAGGTTAACTAGATATCATGCTATTGGCTCTTGGTAACATATCTTTAATTAAAAACAGACAGTGTTTCTTAAATTTTTGTGGCCATCAGAATCATGGGGGGGATCCTTAAAATACATATTGATGGGCCCTACCACAAGAGTTTCTGGTCCATTAGGTCTCAGATAATGTATCTGCATAAATATCCCCCAAATTTGCATTTCTAACAATACCCAGGTGATGCTGATGCAGTTGGTTCTTTAAGAATGGGGTTAAATTTTTATTTTATTTTTTTTTATTTTTATTTTCAAGAACCAAGTTAAAATTTTAATTCCCTAGGACAGTTAAGTAGTGAGGTATTTGGCTACTCCAGCAGGTATTCTATTTCCCTTCATATTATGTAAGACAGCCCTAAAATTAGGGCCAACCCTGGAGCCCTACACTTAATATAACCCTAAAACTGTTTTAAATTTTTATCAACTTGCTTTGTATAACACATAAACAAACAAGTTAGAAAAATTATCTTTCCAAAACACAAAAACAATCTTATCTGAAGTGAATTGCAATGTTTGCTGGTTACTTTACTAGGTTACCTAGAACACTCAATTCTTTAAGATACAACTATAGAGCAAATTTCTTCCCCAATTCCTCTTTATATGAACAGTGAGGTGTCTCCTACCCTTCCTCATATATTCTTACACACAAACAGAATCATGCTTATTGTGTGACTTTCGATTTTCAAAACTGGAGTTACACTACTGATTTCAATTATCTAGAGTAAGATCAATCATGCTGGACTGATGTTCACATGTAATTCTCAGCCACCTAATAAATATATTAAGATATCTGGACAATTTCCAAGTTGTCTAAATTTTCCATCATTTATTTTACTTTTCTTTATATTCAAAAAGAAATTAATAACTCTTGAACAAACACATTTTTTGTTCTGAACAATCAACTCATTCTCTTAGCCACTTATTAGTTACTCACTTCTACTTACTTTACACACACACAAATATTATAAGACTTTCTGGCAGAATATGGAATAATGTTCTTGAAATAACAGTGTTGTATTTTGGTATGACATAAACTGTCACAATCATAAGCAATCATGGTGTGAGCTCACTCAATAAATAAGGTTTGTTTAAATGTGGCATAATTTTGATTAAATAACTTAAAAAATATTTGAGTAGTACTAATGTTAAATGTAAAAATAAATAAGATAGCTCTTTAAAGATTGATTTTCTGGATGAAAAGGTTGTTCAAATAGCACATATTATGGAATAATAACAAGTATTATAAAAAGTTTAAAAAGAAATGTATTCATTTTTTCTTTATTATAAATAGAGGAAAATCATTTAATAAAACATAATTATCCCTATGCAAGTTTTAACTGGATTATATTATTTTTAGACTCTTAACTTCAATCATTCAATTTCTCTCTATCCATTCCAGTTCTAAAATTCTTCTTCCTATCATTACTTCCATGCAAGTAGCAATTTAGTCAAAAACCCTACTCTTCAATAAGGAAACTATCTTTGAAAGGAAAGAACAAAAAAAGTAAAATGTTAATGAAGGAATCTATAAATTCTGAATAATTTGCATTTGCCATTATGCCATCAGTTCTATAGCAATCATGTCCAAAATAAATAACATAATCAGTATTCCTTTCTTCGTCCAAAATATCCAATTTTAGCTTACATGTCTGGCTAACTATGAAGCTATTTCTAACTTAAAATATATTATATCCACTATGAATTAAAGAAACAAAAATTTTAGTAATCTGACAATATCAATGTTATTTTTACTTAGTATTTTGAGGCAATACCTCTAAAAATTGTAATTTTTTAATGTCAAGAAACATTACCACTGAGTGGACTCAAACACACAAAGAATCACTATGTATTTTGATGCAAAATATAGATCATAGTAATGTAGGTTAAATTAATAGTTTAAACTCCTTTATCCCACTGTGAGATGATAATTAATTACTAATTAGCAGTACTTGACTACAGGCACACATAGCAAAACTCATGATTAGAAACCTTGTACCAAACCTCCTACGATAGCCTGTATGAGCTATGAACTATATGGACTGAAAGGATATCTGCAGGAATGCCAGGACCAGCTTACAAGACAAATTCCTACAAAGTGTTGTGTTTTTTTGTTTTTTTCCAGCAAGATAATAAGTTTAGGTTGTTAGCAATTCCTTTTTCGAATCTTAAGGGAAAAATCACTGATGGTATTGAAACATTCTGAGAAAGAATTTCTGATGGCATTGAGTGAGTTACTGAATAAAATAAATCAAAACTAATTTAGTAAATCAAGGTATGTTTTCCAAAAATAAGGGGCTGTGCAAAAAACTAGATTAGTGGAACTAGATATAAAGGTTTGTGTATTTACTGAGCTCTAACAAGGGTGAAGGTTGTGGTGTTATTTATTGCAGAGATTTGATGATATGGTCCACTGTTCACCTGAGACCACCAAACACAGCATTCTTAAACCTGCTTCCTATCTCAGTTTTCAGCCACTGAGCATTTCCTTAGAGTGTACTTCTGTTCAGCTGAGATACAGTATTACGGTATTTTTCAGACTGCACTTACAATATCTGTAAATAAAAGCAAGGGCATCACAAGGCATTATTTCCCATAAAATGAATAAAGACTAGATATTTAAATGCTTTATAGTGTTCCTCAGTATAACACATACTACAGTAACCTTACACACATATGTGTATGTTTATTGCATTAAATTGATAATGAGAGCATATTTGCAATTTTGTATATTTTCCTTACCTGTCAAGTTCTTCAGTCCAAGTTCCTGAAGTCCAAAGTTCCCATCTTTTCTGTAGTTTAAAAATACTGCCAAGGCATATCGATCCTCATAAAGTTTTGTCCCACGGATAATGCGTAAATTCTCCAGAGGCAGGTAGCGAAACTGATTAAGAGCTACTAACACGTAGCCTGTGACTTCTCGAATAGACTGAAAAGAAACAAACAATTGCCTTTGTTAAAAAAAATTAGAAATTATTTGTCAGTACACTAATTTCCACATTATATTGTAAATAATTACCTTGATAATATAAGAATACAAAAGGTTAGAATCTCATTTGAAGTATGAATTGTACTCTTTAAAAAAGTCATGAATGTACTTATAGTAAAATAATGGATTTTGTTTTATAAAACATTCTTCATAGCTGGGATTTGAATATAATTAAAGGAATAAATATGTCATTCTTTGACAGATGAAAATGAGGTAAGAACACCTAGCCATCAACCAAAATTTTTATAAAACAAATTCATAAGCTTATCGCAAATAAAACAAAGCTGCGTTAGTCTGTAGACTATGGAACATATTTTAAACTGCTATATTGATGTTTAATGCTATCATTATCAAAGACAGTTAACTTGTATGTCTCTGGGAAACACAAATATAAACAATATGTATTAAAGACTGATAATGATCTCTAATTTAATTACAACCACAATTTTTTATAAGATTTTGTTTATTTAAGAGCAGAGAGAGAAAGAGCGAGAGCATGAGTGGGGGAGGGGGAGGAGGTGGGAGAAGCAGACTCCCCGCTGAGCAGGGAGCCCAATGATGCAGAGCTCTGTCCCAGGCGCCCCTACAACCACAATTTTATTTTGACTGTCTATTGTTTAATATAGTATAAGTTAATTACTTGTAAGTTTGTAGTACATTTTAAAACAAAAAAGGTCACAAAAAAAGCCCTTAGATTTCATCTAAAGTTACAGTTTTTCAGTAAAATAAGCAAGATTGTGACAGCTATGAGTATATGTATTAAGGTTTTAAAAATTAAATATAAGGGGTGCCTGGGTGGCTCAGATGGTTAAGCGTCTGCCTTCGGCTCAGGTCATGATCTCAGGGTCCTGGGATCGAGTCCCGCATCGGGTTCCCTGCTCAGTGCAGAGCCTGCTTCTCCCTCTCCCTCTGCCACTCCCTCTGCTTGTGCTCTTCTGTCTATCTCTCTGTCAAATAAATAAATAAAATCTTTAAA